CGCGCTGCCTCAGCCAGTGCCCATGTCGGAGGAAGGGAAGCCTTGGCAGAGGCGGGACCGGGGGCTGCGGAGGCAGGGCTGAGCGTGGCCTCTGAGCACACCTCCCTGTTGGCCCAGTTCTGGCCTCCAGAACGGTGAAAGGCTGAATTCTTACTGTTTCGGCTGTCCAGCCAGCTCTGTTACAGCAACTGCAGGAAACGCGTGTGGCCACCCTGCCATCGCCAGGACGCCGCGGTAATTTCCTGCCCCCGGTCGAAGCCCAGGTCACCCTCTGTCTGCAGCTCTGCCTGCTGCCTTGCCGTGCCCTGTACATTTGCCTCCTCACCCCGCCTGGCCTTCCTGGCACCCCTGGCTGGCTATGGGAGCCGCCCACCTCAGCAGGCTGACCAGACAGCTCCCATGTCTTAGTTTGCTGCCCCCAGCAGTGCCTAGCGCGCTTGGAAGGCTGCAGCCTGCTGGGGTGGGGGTGGGGTGCACAGGCTCAGCCCCGCCTGAGGCCCCGCCCTCCGCCTGCCTTGCCGGGGTGCTGAGCGGGCTTGTCGGCCCCAAGCAGGCTTGCACAGGGAGCCCCAATTGTCCTGTAGACCCTGGAGGGAAGGAGGGGCCCATCCGTGCTCTGAGCAGAACATTCCTGGAGAGGAGCATTCCGGGGAGGGGACACAGAGGCCCCAGCCGCCTGTGCTGCCCCCTCAACCGCCTGGTTCATGGGGGAGGGCGGCTGGGGCCCCTCCCACTCCTCAGCGGGGCTCAACGGGTGCAGCGGGTGCAGGGTGCAGCGCTGCTGTCCGGGGCGGTAGCTTTTCCCAGCCCAGCTCAGGGGCTCTGGGAAGCCCTCAGCCCTCAAGCCCTTGCCACGCCCCTCCTGCCTGATTGCTGGCTCTGGACCGGCGGGTTTTCATCAGCCTCCTGGCTGAGATGTGGGGAGCAGCCCCGGCCTGTCTGGGTGACACCTGGTTGTGGGAAGGGGGATTCTCGGCCCTGGGCAGGTGGGGCCCCATCAATCCTGGCCCTGACATGCAGCCCGAGCCCTGGTGGGTGGACGTGGATTGGGGCCCAGCATGTCCTGGCCGGCCGTCTCCCCTGCCTGAGGGGCTTGGGCGCCTCCTTTGGGGTGTTCCAGCCCCTTTCCCCCCCATTCTGCCTCTTCCCAGAGCCACCCAACAAGGGAAGCCCCAGTACGTGGAGGCCCTGCTGTGGTGCGCGTGGTCTCCAGGTCCTGCACAGTGGCTGGGGCCAGCAGCTGGGGCAGGCAGAGGCCAAGGCTGGAAAGCCCCGCGGGCTGTGGGTCCCCATGCTCAGGCTGGAGGAGGGGTTGGAACACAAGGCAGGGACGAGGTGGGGGAACACAGCATTGGGGGAGGCCCCCTGGGGGCAGCCTGGTCTCAGGCCCTAGTGGTCAGGCATAAGGGCTCCCTGTATGCTGAGAAGGGGGCTGTGCTTTCTCCCAGGTCCTGTTCACCTGCCCGCGTGGCAGCTGGGCCTGGTGGCTGGGTGGGCTGTATTGGGGGACTTGGGCTGAGCTGTGGAGGGGACCTGGGCCTTGGCCTTTGTCCACCACTGGGTATTGGGATGGAGCAGCAGCCCCACTTTGAGGGGCCCACAGGACCTCACCACAATTGAGGGTGCAGAGCAGCTGCGGTGGGGGGTGAGGGACATAGTGAGGTCCCTCACTGTGGGGGGCATTGCCCGAGGCTTCTTTCTAGAGCCCCCTGCCCATTCTGGGCTCCCTCCTGATCCCAGTGCCACCTGGGTGCCTTGCGTGGCCCCAGGTTCCATGGCCCTCTGGAGGCCTGGGTGTCTTTCCTTTTCCCTGGAGCTGTCCCCTGTGACCATTTGCCCCCTGCCTGTGTTAGGTGGGGCCCAGGAGGCCCAACTCTCACAGGGACATGGGACTTTCAGGACCAAGCCACAGTGCCACCTGTGCAGAAGAGGCTCCTCACGCGTGGCCAGGCTGGTGGTAATGCCCGGCGCTGCTGGTGGGCCACTGGTCTGGGAGAGAGGGTCTCCACTGTCAGTGCTGGAACCCGGTCCCCAGGGAGGGGCTGGCCTGGGCAGCCATGTGGCGGTGACTGACTTGGCCTGGTTCTGCCCCTGGCTCATTGTATGGCTAAAGCTGCTCTTGGTGGGGGTTCCCCACACCTCTCCTTCTCCCAGCCCTTCAGGGATCTGTTGTCCCAGCTGCTGCCAACCCAGATGGTTAGGCTGAGTGGGCCTGACTGTCCTGGTCTGCACCAGGCCTGGCCGACACTGGCTGCACAGCCTGGGCCCTGAGCTCCTTGCAAACATGCTTGGCCATCTGCACAGTGGGGGACCCCAGCAGGGGCCCCGAGCTGTCTCACGGTGTGGGGGGCCATCAGGTGTGGAAAGCTGTAGGTCAGCGCTGGGGCCGTTTGCTGGAGCGCGGGACGATGTGTGCCGCATGGCTGCTCGTGGAGCTCTGCATCCTGTTACTCTCTCGTTGGTGTCGCCTGGGGCTGGCGTCCATGGCAGCTCCCAGGCCAGCTGCACTCCCGGGTCCTGGCGCAATCCTTCCTGGGCGCCCCATCCTAGTGCCCGGCAGTGTCTTGGTTCATGGAGGGCCAGGGGGATGCACCTGCCCTCCACGTGAGCACCCCACTGTGGGAATGGGGCCCGTCACTCCCCTCAGGGTACTGCAGGGTCCTCACACGAACCCTGTGGGTGCTGGGTTAGCTGGGGGCCAAGGTCCTTCAGTGGCCGTTGGGTACCGAGGACACTGTGGAGTCCCTGCAGGCCAGAGCTGGATGGAGGGGTCCTGGGCACCCCCTGTTCCCTCTGCACCAGCAGCACTAGAGAGGGGATGTGGGTCTGGCCTGGGATCACCTTTGTTTAAATGGAGTTTGCAGTGTGTGAGGTTAGGCACTCTGCACCTGCACCTCGCTGGCACTTTCCTGTCTGCCGCCATGTAGCCGTCACCTCTCCCCAGCCCCAGTGTCTCTGTCCCCCTTGGTGGAGACTCCGGGCCCCTGGCTGACGCGCCCCACCCCCCATGGGGCACACACCTGCCTGTGCTCTGTCCGTGCAGATCGGCCTCTCCCGATCTCTGGTTGTCACCCTGTGACAGTCACAGACCCCCCAGGAATGACCAGCAGAGCGTTGCCATGGGGATGCATGTTGCAGTCATGTTCAGGGAGGCTGTGGCCCGGGTGTTTTTCAGGTGGAGTGAGGAGGGTGGCGGGGGGTTGGCGGGTGCTGCCTGGGCTGCCTGCAGGGCTGCATCTTCTGAGCATGGCCAGGGGCTCCCTCTGTGCAGGGCTGGGTCCAGCAGCCGTGCTTGTCGGCAGGGGTGAGTGTGAGCCTCGCATGCGGCCTTCTAGCGCTAAAGTTTGTCAGAGCTTGACATGTTTTGTTGAAGTCGCAGCAAGGAGCCAAAAAAGAGGGAAATTCTGGCCTGGGTGGGCCAGAGTTCCAGGGGTGCCACTGGGGAGCAGGCCATGGAGGAGGAGTGGCAGCGGAGGGCAGGAGTGAAGCAGGTGGCCGTGGTGTCCCACCAACAGGCACTCTGAACCTGGGTGCGGAGTCAGGCGCTTTGTTGCCCGTTCCCCCGACGGCCGCCCTTGCCTTTGTGTCCCCAGCACAATGCGTCACAGGTGCTTGGTGGGGAGAGCCCCTGCTCCAGCTCAGGTGAGGGCAGCCACTGCCCAGGGGGAGGGGGCACAGGATGGCAGCACTGGCAGCCCCTGAAGGCTCTTAGGGGCAGGGTTTACTGTTCACTGGGGCCTTCCTGTGGCCCCCCGTGGTCCTGCCCTGGTGTCCCGAGGCCCAGTGTGCAGCAGGGGCAGGTCGCCCAGTGCAGGATGTGCCCAAGGGTGCAGAGAGGGCCGCCTGGGGTGCCCAGTGTGGTGCATGGCGTGAGGTGGGGGTGGGGGCAGTGCCATGGTGATGGGGCAGCTGGAAGCCACCCTGAGTACTAGGCCCTGCAGCCCCTGTGCCATACCACCCAAGGGGCTTTCCCTAGGGCCATAAAGTGCCTCCTTACCAGTGGGTAAGGAGGGCCTTGTGAGGTTGTCGCACCCTGGCAGTGGTGCCCAGCACCCATGAGGCTGGCAGGTGGGGACCTGGCCATGCCAGCACCCTGAGAGTCTCCTAGCCCCTGGCCTGCCTGGCCCAAATGCCAGGACAGGCCTAGGGCTTGCATTCCCACCACACCCACCCCTGGCCTTCCTGGTTGCTTCTGCTCCCCCCAACGTGGGCAGACGGGAACCCTGGGCACCGGCTCTGACCTCTGTGTGCTGGGCCGGCCTCTGCCTGCCTGGGTAATGCCGGGAATTCCCAGAACATTCCCACTGTCTACAGGCAGGCTGGGCTGGTGGCTGCCTTCCAGCACTCTCAAGGCAGCTGGCTGAGGCTCCGGCCACAGCGTCCCTTGGGGACTGTGTGTCTCAGGCCCTTGGCCCGGCCTCGGTCTTCCAGGGATGCTTGAGGAGCCTCTGGGTGCTGGGAGGGCTGCACTGGTTCCATCTGCTTCTTGTGCACAGCCCGGCGGATTGTGATCGCTTCTCAGCGGCACCTGGCGGGCACAGCTGGTACCTGACTGTGTGTGCCGGGGTCCTCTGGGTCCCCGCTTGCTCTGAGCCTGTGCCAAGGGGGGCACCACCTGCCGTGCCCACAAGGTGGGAGGGAGCACGGGGAGGTGAGGGCTTGGTCCCTGCATGCCAGGCCCGTGGCCTGTGCCAGGATGACCCAAAGCCATGAACCGTAAGGGTGGCTGGGTTCTGAGCGCACCAGCCGGGTCCTGGTCCTCTGTGAGGGTGACCAGATGGGACGTCCTGGGACTGTGAGCAGCTCTCGGAGGGCCTGGCCTGCCTCTGCCAGGCAGCCTGCAAACCACACTGCACCAGCTCTGGGGACACCTTCCTCCCCCAGGTGCCTGGGAGTGCCCCCCCTTGGGCAGGATTTGCACAAGGACCCTGTGTGGGGCTGTCCACTGGACGACATCTCCTGTGATCTGGGGTCCCCGAGCACCTGCTTCTCCCCCACAGATGGAGTGGGTTTGCACTGCCACTGCCCCCCGGGTTGCTGGCTTCAGGGCGACAACAAAACCTGCCAAGGTAGGTCGGACCTGTCCCCAAAACCCTGCTTTCTCCTCTCCCTGCCCTGGCCACAGGCTGTGAGGGGACCAGCAGCTGCCCAGGTCCCGAGTGCCCACCCCAAGTTCAGTGTCCCCCTGACATTGCCTGGTGGGGTCCTCAGAGAGCCTGATGTTGGTGGGGGGCCCTGGAGGCTGTGCAGAGTTGGGGTGCTCTGTGGGGCAGAGGTGGGTGGGCTGTGGGCTGCAGAGGCTGGGGCGCCAGAGTCAAGTCCCTTCGAGGACAGGCAAGTGGGTGGACGGTGCGCCTGGGTGTGCTCGGGGTGCGGGGGTGGGTGCCATGCCGGGCAGAGACTCGGGGACCCCGGGTCGGAAGTGCTTGCTGGCTCTGGGGTGCCCTGCAGCTCCCCACTTCCCTACATGGCTGGCCAGCTGTCACACTGCAGACGGGACAGAAGAGTAGCGGCGAGAGACGGGACAGATGGGAGGAGGCAGGAGGCTGTAGGGGCCCTGCTGTTCCTTCCCCAGCTGCCTGGCCGGCTGCCTGACCCCTGGACCCAGTGCGGGTCAGTGCTGGACTGTGGCCCAGGTCAGCAGTGTCCCCTCTGCTCCCACCAGACACCACTGTCGTCCTGCCCTGCCTGGTCCCTGGCTGAGCTTGCTGCTGTCTGCAGCTGTCCAGCTGTGCACCATCTGTGGAGGGTGGGGCCAGCCCGAGGCTGGGGTCTGGGTGGCGGAGTCTGCCCTGCCTGAGACGCTTGGAGCAAGGATTGGGGGGCTCCATGAGGACAGGATGGGGGCACCCATGCAAGCTCTCCCTCGGCTCCTGGACACCTGGTGGTCCTGGCCTTTGCCTTGGTTTCCCCTTCTGTGAAATGGGCTCCCTAGGGGTGGCTGAGCCCCCAGAGACCCACACCCCGCTTGTGCAGGTAGACTTAGGTGGGAGAGGTCACCCGTACCTGGAACAGAGCGAGGAAGGGCACCCATTGCCAATGTCCACCTCCCTGCCACACCCGAGGCCCCTGGTCTGCTCCAGGCGGGACAGCCTGAGACCCCCTGAGACCGCCTCGGGTCAGGTCTGAAGGGCAGGACACGCTGTGGCTGGAGGTTCAGGCCAAGGTGCCCACATGCAGTGGGGCTTGGGGGCTGTGGCGCCCTGCCTGGGCAGCCTGGTCCCTCTGAGGTGATGTCCTTCTCCTGGTGACCTTGGCCTTCAGGGTCTGCTCGCCCTCAGTGGGGCTTCTTGCCAGCAGAGCTTGGGGTCTCAGGATGTGGCCAGACCCCCTCCCCGGCCTGAGGCATTATGGGCCTCAGGATCTGAGCTGCTTTAGCAGCAGCCCCGGGAACAGGCCCTGTCCACCTGTCACTGGCAGGGCTGGACCCTGAGCAACCAACCAGCACCCCATTGGGCACGGACCCTCCACAGGGCCAGGTGGGAGTGACCTGAGGAAGCTGACAGCCCCCTCGGCTCATGAGCAGGGCAACGTCCTGCATGCCCAGAGCCATGGACACCCCTGGTGACCTGGTCACCCCGGTAGTGTCAGCTCCACGGTCCCCAGCCCCACCTCCCTCTCAGCACACCCCACACTGCCGCCCTACTCCAGCTGCACGGGGAATTGGGGTTCTCAGCCCTATGGCCTTCTGGGCTGGGACAGCTGGGGGTCTTGTCCGCTGCCCAGCAAGACAGGTTGCAGGCTCGTGCCAGGCCATGTGCCCCTGGGAGAACACTGGGCAGAGCAGAGCACACCCTTAATCCTGGGAGGCTCCCGGAGCCTGGCTTCCGGGGCTCCCCGCAGGAGTGTGTGCCTGCCCCGCAGGAGTGTGTGCCTGCCCCGC